GGAAAAAAAAAGAAAAAAGAACAGGGGTATCATCCCAAACTCCATACACCAACGTGTCTGCCCACACCGTGCAATTGGCGATTCTTTGCCGCTCATGTCGGTGACGGCCTGTTCTCCACGGCCTCTCTCAACCTCTTTAGCCGACCCTCAAGCCAGGGTTTCTGCCAGGCATCAATCTTGCCCCCGAGCACGACACAGTTATCGGGCTCTAGCAGTACCACACCCCTCGCTACCGCGGTCCCGCTCCTCAGCATCATCTTCTCGCCAATACCAGTAACTCCGACACCGATACGATCAACCCGCTTCAACTCGATAGCGTATGCAGTCCTCCCCGCATGATCCTGCAACACGAGACGATGCGTAGCCTTCTTACCACCGGGGGCCGTCGCATTCGAACCACTACCACCACCACCACCACCACCACCACCACCTGAAGTCGTCCTCGACGCCGTCCTCTGCGCATGCGCCGCAAGACCTTGGCTCTCCGCCTCATCGCCGAGATCCGCACCGCCGTTTACCCCATCATCATCATCATCCCCCTGACCCGGGGCGGGGAGCCGGATGATTTCCCTCCCGCGGGTGCCCTCGCCGCGTTCCAGCGCCTCGAGCTCCTCGACTTGCTCCCAGCGGCTGCGGGCCAGGTTCTCAATGTCGACGACTTGGACGTGCACGTTGCCTGTGAGGGTCCGTTCCGGGACGTTCGGGTCGGATATGTTTTCCGGCAGCGGGGTAGCGTGGGCTGGGTCGACGAGGCCGGGGGTGGTGAGGTCTGCGGCTAGGAGGCGGGCTTTGGCGGTTGCGAGGAGGGATTGGAAGGGTGGAGGCGGGGTGCGTGATGTTGCGAGGGCCGTGAGCCAGGTTTGGGAGGGGACTGGGTAGTGGGATGACTGTAGGGCCAGGCGGAGTTGGGTTGGTAGGTCCATGTTGTAAGCTCGGGTTTTATGAGTGAGCATGTATTAGGGGTGAACTGGTCCTCTGCAAGAAGACATAACAAAGATGTCTTTGGGCCGCGTAGGAGGGCTGTGAGAAGAGTTACAAGGGTGTATCGGTTGAAAAGAGCATTGATATGGAGCAGAAGAGGAATGATTCTTGTAGAGTGAGACAGGAGATGTGGTATTGGCGTGGTGGGAGGATGTACCCGGTACCAATTGAAAGGTAACGTGGGGGAATAGTGGGGGGTTTCATTCGGACATCCCCCGAGAAATATTGATCCGAAGGCCACCGGCTATCAATCTCTCCATGTCACAAAGAACTCAAGGGCCAGTTCACAAAGCTGAGATATACGGTTTGTGGTTATGACTATCAATCATCCCATAAGCTCAAAAGCTCGAGACAGAAGGAATGGATAGGTGTTAGAATAGGAATACTGATACTATACGGGTTAGAAATCACGTGCCCACGGGGCATGTTACCAATGATGTTCGTGGGCCCTATTCTATTGTTGTATTCAGTGTTTACCTATAGGTATTCATACACCGTGGTAAGTATTACTGATACTCTGTGGTACCAAAGTAAAACATATCATGACTAAGAGTCAAAAGGAATCCTCTCATTGTCCATCTTCGGTCATGAGTATATCCCTACCTTAGGTACTCCTAGGTACTCCTACACCAGCCTCAGGTCCCCAATCTCCTTTCCAGCGACTGGTCCAATGCACATCGAGTACCGATGGTGGATAAAGTAAAGGTTATGGGGTATTATTTCTCTAGACTACACCAGGCTACAGCTCTCTACACCAGGGTACAGCTTCATACCTGTCTCTGCTCTCATGAATCTTCCTCTTACGAGTCGTCCTCGTCCCTTGAAACCAAAGAGTACCTTGTACCTTGGTGTGACCCATGTGTATCTCAGAGCCGTATATAAATATATATATATAAAACAAAAAAACCAGTACGCACGCACGTCGCTGTCGTTGCTGAAGATCCCCATGCCTGTTCAACCAGCTTCCACGATGCCCCCTAGCGTGTGAGTGGCGAAAGCATTTCGAAGCTTCATACATCTGCACTTTCATTGCCATCTTTGCCGGCTGAGATTATCGTAGCGGAGCTTCCTTTCCCCCGTTCCGCTACGACCAAGTCGAAGGTGCGAACGAGTCGGATATGGTTGGGCCATGTTAAAAGATTCGCCGCAATATCCCAGAGCTGAGCATATCCCCCATTGTCTGTCGTCATGATTCGCCATAGAGGCGAGGAGCTAGGGCCGTACTATCAGGTCACAGGAGGCCATGTCCGTCTGGCCGTGCCGTGCCGTGCCGTGCCGTGCCGTGCCGTGTCCCTGTTGCAGTGCACTATATCGACACCGATGGGCTAGGCCCAGGTGCTGGGTTGTGTTCGTACTGAGTAGAGTCAAGAGTCGGTGGTATGTTGAGTCCGTCTCTAGACCAAATATCGTGCCTTTCATATTCTCCGTCTTCACGTCAAGTCGTATCGTTTCAAGGCAAGGGGTGGTTCTGCCCCTTGTTGCGCCGGAAGAAGGGAAAGTTGTTCATCCGAAAACGGCTCGGCTTCTTCTTCAACGATTTGAACCCTTCCGCCTTCCCAATGCTCCCGTTCCCGTTGAAGTCGTTCGACCCGTGAGACCGCATCGACAGACCGCCATTGGGCCTGGGGGTTGCCGTCTTAGATTCCGAGCGCAAGGGAACGCTCATCGACCGATCAAGCGATTCCCGACTAACAATGCTAGTGCCCCGGGTGCTGGGAGAGATCGGCATCTTGCCCGTGGTGGCACTCGTGGCTTGAGAGGCTCGGCCACCAAAAAAATGGCCGGTCGTGCTCTCCTCGGTCGTGTCGCTGCTCCGCTGCCGCCTGCCATGTGTGAGACCATTCTCGTGAGAGTTGTCGCTCCATCCGCGCGCCTGAAACGGGTCGCTGGCAGCAAAGTTGGCCACGGCATCAAAACTCGTCACAATGCCAGTAATCTCCTTGTAGTCTTCTGGCAGATTCGGCGTTTGCGACAGCTTGTGGACCGGATCGGCAACAGGTGGGCTTAATTCCTTCTCTTCCGTCTTCTTCCCATCAGTGAGCGTGGATGGCGTCGCGACGTCGGCATTTGCTGGTGTGCCTGTTGTCGCAGGACTCGATGACTCTCGGCCGTCTTGCTGAACGGCAAGACTCACAGTCCGCGGCGAACATGCCCCGTCTGCTGGTGCATTGTGGGAAACGGCGACCAGCTTGGCTTGCTCTTCTTGTATCCGCCCCTCGAATAACTCCTTATTCCTCTCGAGCTCGTCGACGGTATATTGCATCGCGGGAATGATGTCAGCGACACCCTGGAACAGGGGAAGGGCGAACATGTTCATGAAGCCAAGCTGCGCCTTGCCTAGGGAGATGATGTCCTTCTTGGGTGGTGCCAGCAGCGATGAGGTAATCTCCAGCTCCATCTCCATGGATGCCTGCCTTGCAAATTCGTCGGACAGGATGTGCATCCACTGCACCGCAGTCTCGTGCTTCCTGGCCTGTGAATTTGTGCGGTTAATACCCGACGATAGACCCCCTGAGGATCGGATATTGGGCGTGAGATTCCACTTACCACATTACTTATGTCTGCGCATTTGATGAGGAGCGAGCAAGCGAGAGCTTTCTGCTCTTCCAGGGTGCGACCGTTCCAGCCTTCTGTCGTGTTGTCGACCTCCAGCTTGGCTTGAAGGTCCCCGAGTTTCTTCATATAATCGAAATGCAGGCCCATGTCTGTGGCCAAGATGGAACTGATCATCAGCTTCCTCATCTTGGCATCCGAGAAAGCCGCCGACCAATATCTACGAAGAATCTGAGAGAACGCCGCACAATGGAACGACTCGAGAACGGATCGATCGTTGTACAGCTGCGCCAAGGGCGCATTGAGGGTAACGAGAAATCCGTTATTGACGCCTGGGTGGCCTACATCGTGGCCAATGGCCGTGATGAGCAACGTCAGGCCGTCGAGCGGATGCAGGAGGCTGGCGATCGGCGACTTGGACGGTGCGGGTTCGCTGGGTTCCGAATCGGAATCGGAATCGGACGGGTAACGAGCGATGGTACCGATGCGTACGAGAAAGTGGAAAGTGGCTTGCAGAACATCGATGACGTGGCGGAAATTGTGATAGGGAACAAAGCTGTTGTAGGAAGCCCGGCACGCGACGAGGAAGTTGATGAGTTGATCTAAAGACGAAACCCGGGTCAGATGCTGATCGTGTGCATGGTGGGAGTGGGAACCAGTAGCGAATTATAATCACAACTCACCTGCGGGTATCCGCCAATGTTCAAGTTCGGGCATCGCTAGAGCGTGCCTGAACATAAACATACCGGCGACCAGCAACTCATCATCGGTGAAATCATGTGCGCTAAAATGCCAACGACCGACGGCATCGGCAACGACGGCCTGGCGCTCCGAGGACACCGAGAGGCTGGCATTTGCAATCAAGTCGTCGTGGTCGGTAGGAATGCGGCATATACCCTTCATGAGGTTGGACACCATGGCCTCTCTGAGATACGCAAACGGTTTTTCCTCGCTGATGCCAACCCAGGACCGCTTCCTCCCCCGGCGTACTTCCTCGATGGCTGCCCGTTCTCTGGCGGCATCCTTGAGCGCGCGGTGTGCATGGACCTCTAGGCTCAAAATGCACTTCGAATGCATGGGCCGTACAATCACGTCGGCAGCCCCCAGATCAAGACAACGCAGGACGAGACGGCGGTCAACAGGTCGTACCCCGAATAGCTCGGCAGATACGTTGTTGGCGACATTCGCGACCTGCGACGGTCGTCCGAGAAGGAGTATCGGCACCACTAGCTTGGTCATATTTCGAACATGAGCTTCGGTCATGATTCGCTGCAATAACCTCAATCCATAAACCTGCTCGTTCGGTGTGTGTATGTCTGCTTCTGCTTCTGTTTCTGGGGACGACGTGGAAGACTGTCGGAAGGGTGACTCGGAATTCGGCTGCGGGTCGTCGTCGCGAATCTGCTCATCATCTGACGCGTCAATAAGCACCATGATGGGTTTGATGTCGGCGACGGAGCATTGTTCGGCGTCGAACAGGGTGGCGAGACAACCGGCGCCAGTCGAGCAAAGTTGAACTGAATTGGGCGCAATTATTAGTGCCCAGCGCAAGACACACGAATTGGGCATCTACCTAAGGTAGTGAACGCACCTCGGCCGAAAGATTCTAGCAAGCGCTCAACATCTTGACGCAGGTCGTCGTGTTCCCATTGTGACGTCGTCAGTTCACCCAAGTCCTGGTCAGAAGGTGAAAAGATGTGCTTGTCCTCGCGAATATGGCGGTTCACATAGACCACACGAAGATCAGAACGATCCATTGCGGCTTCCAAGAGCATCCAGTCTCACGACTGGAGCTTCTTGCACGCAAAGGATAGCTCCTCCTGCACAATCAACAAGATAGAATCCCACTCTCGCTTCACACGAGAAAGAATAGAAAAAGAGAGAAACGAAAAGGAAGCTAAAGTGCAAAGAGAAAGAAAAAGAAGAAAAAGAAGAAAGAAAAAGAAAGAAAAAGAAAGAAAAAGAAAAGAAAAAGGAAAAAAAGGAACGATCGAACGAAGCGGACTCAGAACAATCGCGCTCCAGAGGATGTCGGAGGTAGGAACGGCAATGGACGATGTGCGCGACCCCCCGACAAAACAACTTCAAGTCGCAAGGTGAAGGATGGGCGTGTTTTTGTCGCAGTAATTGGAGGTCGGGACGGTTGGCGACTCGACGAAGCCGAAAATGTCTGGAACTGCGACCGATGGGCAGATAGCACCGAGACCTTTTTTTCCTTTTTCTTTTCCCGTTTTTCCTTCTCGAAGGCGTTCGCGTATATGGTGGCTGACACAACTGGGATCAGAAAGATACGTCGAATGGGTGTTGATCTTGCATTAACTGGATTGGCTGCGAATTTTGATAATGCAGAGATGTGGTTGACATGGGAAGAGGATGTCGACCTCGGGGAACACTAGTGAAAAACTTTTGTCCAGAAATGAAGCAGCGACGAAGAATGCGATTCCATGGGACGGTTGTCGTGAAGGCAAAGAGCCGTCGGTCTTGGCCGGCGCCAAGACCCGCCGGGGCGTGTATCGTGGCAATGGGGTCAACGGATTGGCCGAGACGCAAAGGCTTTGTTCTACAAGAGTGCGATTGTAGAGGACGAGAAGGGCAAATTAGCAGTGATAATAGAGGGGGGTTAGAACAAAATGTGAGGGTTGGTGCTTCGACAGACTCGAGCGCAGGGAAACGATATGCTGAAACGAGAAGGCAGCAGGTAACAGGCGGGGGGGAGGAGAGGGGAGAGGACGAGGAGACGACGAGACGATGAGATCGAAGGAAGAAAACAGAGGGTTCTAAGGTTCGGCGGCCTAGGGTGGAAGGGGAAGGGGGGGGTTTCCTTTGTGACCGTCGATTGTGAAGCGAAACGGAAGTACCTCTGCTTTAGCTTCGAATAGGCAGGCAATAAAAAGACACACACCGCATATACAATTCGTACGAAGTACGGATACAGTTTGGTGGAACAAGGGGCGGGGCCCCATTAATTACATGTACGGAGTAGTACCTAGGTACGGATACGGGTAGGGGCAATGGATACCAAGACACCCGAAGTCGACATCGGCTGGCAAAATCCTGCCACAGGAACATTGGACGTTTACGCCATACTCCGTATGGTAAAATGAGACAGGAGATGCTAAGCAGGGGGGACGTGGCCTGATGGAATGAACGACAGCTTCTTCGCAGGAAGCAATGCACTCGGTACTCGAGAATTAAAGCCTACTCCCGTAATTACCTCTGTACTATCTAGGAAACAAGACGGAAATTTTACGTGCTCTAGCTTTGAGCGGCGGCGGCCGTCGAAAACTTCCACGCATCTTCTGGTTAGCTTCTCGAAAGCGAATGGAAGCGACCAGGAGGAGCCGTACCAGACGTGGCGCGAACAAAGTCTGGAGCAACGCATGTTGGCCAGCCGCCCTGCATAGGTACCCTGTGCCCACCATCAGGGTGGCCACGGGGGCGTATGGTGGCATGCTGACCGGTGGATGAATTGAATTGGGTTGACCAATGAACAAAGCGGTTCTCATGGTCTTCTGGGTCTGAAATTACATAATGGGGCGCTGAAAAATACGAAAAGTACCTATATGTACGAAGCAGGTACGACTAAACCCCTCTGAAAGTCGCATTGCCATCGATTGGACAAAGGGCGGTATGGCCCCATAGGGGTGGATCTTCGGGGGTTCCAACCGTGCGGTACGGGGGCTGTTTCACTGTTCTAGGTACATACCTACCCAAGTGCCCGTTTCTGGGTTCCGGCGCAGAATGGATCATATCATCTTACTGCATAGGATCGCGAAATGACAAAAAGATGGTTCTCATAACACAGTTTTTGTCTCCTTCGGGTGGCTATACAGGCATCAGTGGCATCAGGGTATTGCACTCGATTACCACTCCCTCCCAGCATAATGGGTACGAATAATAGGTACGAATGAAATCTAAGGTAGGTACAGTCAGTACGGGGTACTTTCTACCCGTTTTGGGTAACCGTGAGGTACTTCGTACGACGTACTGAGGGAGACGGAGAACCAAAAAAACGCCCATGCAAGTTTCGTAATCTCATTGGGTAGGGCAGAATTCAACCCCCTGGGGTTCTTTTTTCTAGAAGCGTAAGGTACCCATACTTTTTTTTGTACATTGTACTCCATCCGAAATCGTCGTCTTAACCGCGTACCTTACCTATTCTCTATGGTTATCAATGGCGTCGGCAGTGACCCAAGCTTCTCGATCTTGCCAATCTTTGACATTTATATCTTCCGTTGCGCCCCCCATTTTCTGTGGCCTCTCTCTTGTCCAACTTTTCATTCGTCATGTACGGTACCGCGCGCGGCTGCTTTCCCATTTTGCCCGTTCTCCGCGCCCATGGGATATCTTCCAATCTTCTTCCTCGCTCATGCCTGGCATTACTTCCAAACTTTGAACGGTAGGCAATATACCAGTTATTAGACGCCCTGTGTCATTCATATTGGCGGCGAATGCCGTCGCAACAAAGTCTATGGGTGTGGAATAGCTTCCTAAGGTAAACAGACACACCGCCCAATGGGCTTTTGACACCAGTCTGACGACGACCCGAACGATGCACGACACTGTCAACGAAAGAAAGGAGAGAGAAAAAGAAAAAGTAAAAGACATTGTGATTTGTTTGATATCAAGTGTAGACAAGAAGAGAAAGTGTGACACGCGATGGTATTATATGATAGGTATAATTAAACTGGTACCTAGGTCATTAGCTACGTTGTAACCATCCGCCCCAAAACGCGTGCGCGTTTCCAGATCGGCACGCCGTTATGTCTGGGCATCTCGAAACCGCCGTTCCGATTCGAGTCATTTCCACCTTCCTGATTCAGTCCTTCCGACTTTGGGCCTGTCCCGAGTCATGCCCGCTCAGTCCCGAGTCCCGACACTTTGAGACCCAACCAGACACCCCTGTCTCTTCCTCACTTTCTTTCTCTTTACCTCTCTAAGACGTACCCTCCGGCCTTGGTAATTATCTGTCTGCCTGAACATTCTGGTACACTAGGTAGGTAATTAGCATTAATTACATTGTACGTATGTACCTTAATAACTCGCTGCTTCTCGGGAACCCCACCGATCCGTGTTAAATATGTAAGGCTCCTCCTGGGCTAAGGGGATGGATGGCTGGGGAAAAGGGAGGTGGGGTATTCGCGACCTTCTCGATCAAGCAGAAACAGACCTTAACTGTCGGAACCTCCGGGCCCTGCTGTATGTATGTACGTTGGATACCGTACGCACATGCTTCTGACCTTGATCCCGAGGCGACCCAACACAATTTGTGTGTTCAGCCACTTGCCTACGAGGCATGAACGGGCGCAACGGAGGGGGTGGTCCGGGCGGGAAGGGGGGTTCATCGGGTCATCTGGGGTTAATTACCTAAGGTACCTACCTACCTAAGGTAAGGTAGTTATCACTGTCAACCCCAGATTCGGCTCAACTGCCATGTTCGTCCCCCTCACCGACCACCACAACAGTCGGTATTTGAGGAAGGCGGGAATCGAATGCAATGCAGACAGATATACCTACCTACACGAGACCTCGTCTTTGCGATCAAATCCCACCAAGCACTACTTGAATTCTCGTTCTCGCAATCTACGTGTAGTGCGCCCGCAACTCTGCGCCCGTTGAATGGCCCCGCCCTTCATATCTGTATCACAGATTCGTCCATCCGTCCGTCCATCCATAATACGTAGCCACCTACGTGCCACAAGCGAACGGAACAAGAGAACCGGCCCGCTTCTTGCTTCACCTCCATGTCCGAATGCTGCCTTCTCTCCGCACCTGTACGTGTTGTAGTACTAACCAAGCACGTCCTTGCGGCAGGACAGCAAGTAAAAACCCTCCCCTTCTTTTCGATATATTCCATTGGGCGAAGTGGTCGCCGGTTCCACTGGGGATGGATTTCTTCGAGAATGCACAGAATACGACTTGAAAACCGGAAGCTGGCAGATGGTCTAAACCCATTGTGGTCGTTTCTTTTCCCGCATGTCAACAATAATCATTGTCATATCGAACATTCCATGCATAAACCAGTGCGGAACGAACGTATCTTGCTCTCCCTTCCCCTCCCCCAACGAACCATCCTCCCTTTCGCTTCGTCTGATGGGGTTTGTGCAAGAAGGATTCCTTCCGTCCCGTCGGGGAGGAAGACGGCTCGGCGCGGCAAGGCGACGGAGGGACGACGCACGATCACTCCTTCAGCAGCAAGGCAAACACCCCCAATAGCCACCGACTAAATCATCGCATCTCTGAGACAAGAAAGCTGGATTAACGATCGCAAACTCCTCAGGGGTGCGCGCGGCTTCTCGGCGCTTCCCACCTCAACCAATTTTTTTACCAGATGCCCGGCCAAGATGCACCTCGTATGCAACCAACGACCCGTAACCTTGTTACATCCTCGTAGTTACACATCGGAACACAGGCGGAAATCGCTGTCAAACGAGTAGACAATCATTGCTCCCAAGGGGGGTTTGACCAGACACAAATGCAAGCTCCCAACTCAGCTACGCAACCCGTGGACCCGTACATCTTCAACCCGCAATCCTTTTGGCTATACTGTACTTGTGTTTCTATGTCTATGTATCCATTCTCATGGCTCCGTCTTAATGCTACTCAGGATAATCCTGTTCACGTCGGAAGACCTGAAGAAAAAAAGGAGCAATATCATCATGCAGAACCTCTATGGCTTCACCATATCCCTCCACGACGCAGTAAACTACGGTCCAGCCATGTCTGCTCAAACACATATGCGCCATAGCAACAGTCCACTACTGGCCCCCGCCTCCTAGCGCCACATCTCCCTTCTTAGGTGTCGACACAGTGCAGCATCCTCCATTATCTTTGGCACTTTTGGGGGGGGGGGGGTTCTTTTTGACTTCTTCCGTTTCGGGCAAAACTGGCGCCGGTCTTCCCTCAATGCTTCTCCGCATGGGGCATCGACGGCTGCTGGTCGTCGTCCGTGAGATGGATCTCCGCTGCCTCAGTGGAAGCGGCGTCGTCATCTGCAGGCGGCACCGCGATGACCCTGTCGTCGGCATTGCGGTCCCAGGCAGTGGCTTGAATATCCGCAAGTCCGATTTGGGCGTTGACGTCCGGCGGGGGCGGCGGCTGGTCCCCCATGTCGGACCCGCAGCTCGGCGACGGCGCGTACCTGTCCTGCAAGAACGGCACCTCGCTTCCTTGGCTGGGAAGATCCGGACCATCCGAATCAGCCTGCGCATCATCGCTGGCATAGTCCTCGAGACCAAGCGAGGGCGGGTGGCTGGCGTCCAGCGACTGGAAGCTCCAGCCCTGAGTGGGCTGAAAGCCACCACCAGTATGCCTGTCTCCCTCGATGCTAGTCTGCATCACGTCGCTACCGACGTTCGTGGAAGAGCTGCCCTCAAAAGACAGCAATTCGTCCTCATCGTCCCCGCGCGTGACTGTGGCGCTACGAGCCGAACCACGACCGGCTTCCGGGTGAATTGCTCCTGCTGCGAGCCCAGGTCTCGACGACCCAAGAGGGGAGGAGCCGTCGCCGAGACGCCGACCTTCCCCCGCGTCGGCCATTTCTTGTTCTGCTTCGTCATCATCGTCTTCGGTCGGGTTGTCGAACTTGTCGCAAATCTGCCGAAACCGCGGCCCGCCAAGGGGACCGTCGGACCGGCGTCGATAGAAGAGCAGGTACGCCGCCTTGGTAACGGAACTCTCTGCTTGACCAGGCGAGACTGAGGAATCTGTGCGGGGAATTAGCAACGTGGAACCTCCCCAAAGACACAACCCAACCACCGCTGGGCTGCCCCGAATACAACTCCTCTCGCTACCGTTTCTACTGACCATTGAAATGATACCACCGGCCATCGATGAAGTTTTTGGCCCAGGCGGTGTAGTGGCCACCGCCGAGGCCACCGAAATGCTCATCAACAGCGAAGAGGTCGTATATCTCTTCTTTGCCATCCTCTTGGTAGAGGACGCGGTTCCGCAAGTCAAGGTCTTGTATGGGGAAGTCCACCATGACGTCGAGCTTATCACGGCGGTAACCTGAAGAGCTGAACCGCTTGAGATGGACGACAAGAATATCCGGCGTCTTCCAGAGATCGAATTTCTTGCTGGCACGACGGTGTTCCTTGCAGCGAGGACAGTACCACATGTCCTGCTCCGAGAGAATCTCGGCCTTCTCGAATTCGTCGAGGCACTCGTCCAGTGTGATGCCCTTGTTGCTCCGGGCTTGGCGCTTCTTACGTCGCTGTTCCAGCACCGGGTCCCTGACTTGCTCCAACTGGAAAAACGTCGCACTCCCCTGGTCATCACCGCCCCCAAAGACTGCATCCCAGGCTTCCTGGCTCCAGTCCACTACGATGCCCTCGTGCAGGCGAACCAGAGGACCAGGAACATCGTCCAAGGGCGATGGCTGTGGCGGAACGTCGACTGGCTGAGCCTGTTCCATCTTGGCCTTCCATTCCTTGTTTCGATGCTTAACGCCTCCTTTCTTGCCGCCTTGCATCCGGTGATGTCTGGCCTTCTTCCTGCCTCCAGCGATTCTCTGGGCCGGACGCTGGTTTCGAAAATGGGGCTGTCTACTTGTCAGTTGCGGCTCCCAGTAAAAAACGATGATGGCGGCAAACGACAGGGCCACCCTTGCTGTGTTGACGGTTGTCACGAAACCACAAAGCACGTACCTTGATGGGGACGTCGCCATCATCGCTAGATTCGTCATTCATGCGAGTCTGCGCAGAGACGGTCGCCGCGGATGCCGTTGCAGGTGACTGCTGGTCGCTGTTACTTTCGTTATCGGAATCAGCACCATTAGTCCATGCACCGGGACTATTGGCGTCCTGTTCGCTTGGGGAGTCGGCGGGTGCTCTCGTGGAAAGCCGAGGGAATTCCCGCTTATCGTCAAAGCAGTGCCAACCAGACGGCAAAGGGTCGCCAGAACGGTCCTGGAGGAACGACAACTCAAACAGGTTTTGGAGTTGGGCAGGCAAGTGGTGCTTTCGGCTCACCCACTTAGGGCGCTGCGCATTGTATTGCCTGGGAAGCTTCTCGCTGGCTGGGCGGCCGCATGCTTTGGGCATGGATACCTCGACCATATCATCTTCGCCCTCGACTGAGTGGACCATAATCTTACTGTCCCCAGAGGAATCGGCATCGGATTGCGTCACCATGGCCGTGTCGGTATCTGTGGTCGAGTCATCTGCGAACATTAACGAGGTCGAAAACGTCGCGGTTTTCTCGAGAATCTTGCGGCGAATGGCGTCCTCGCTATATGCCTGCACATCGTTAGTGGTACGTTCAGTGCAGGGTGTCATGTACAAAGGAAGAAGAGAATAAGAGAGGGAAAGCAAGAAGAAGAGAAGAAAGAGAAAGGAAAAAAAAGAACGGGGAAATACCTCGTCCCGGGTCAGCACGATGAAATGCGGCGGGCATGTAACATCTTCTCGGTTAAAACGCATGGCCGTTGGAGTTTTCCGACGATGGAACACGGGCACTGCCATTCGCTCTGCTCGCGGATCGGCAAACGGTTCCTCGTCGATATCGAGCATGGAGCGACGTCCGGGCGGCTTTCTCGGCCAGTTCGTCGGCACCGCTTCGACCTCGTGGAATGTGGCGATATCGTTGGGCTGGATGACATCGCACACATCCTCATGGTCTTCGTAGATCTTGAAGAACCTATCCTTGAACTCCTCGCCACCCAGAAGGCGGTCGATGGGGACCACCGTCTTCTCCGAAACAGCTGTCCTGAGCCGTTCCATCGAGCTATGCTTCGGCAGTTCGATGTCAAGCTGTACTGGGCGATCGTTCAAGGGGTAGAACTTCACCGTCCTGCTCCACAACTCCTCGATAGGGAGGGGTAAAGTCAGGTTGTTGAAAGGATCGAAGGTGATGCTGACCTTGTGGCAGACGGGACACTTCAGAGTTGATTTGTACATGCCGGTAAAGAGATCGGCAATGACCGAATCATCGCGCTTCCGGGTGATGTCCCACACCTTCTCGGCCATCTCACGTATGGCTGCTTCGTTCCCGATCATGTCATCGGTCGAATCCGGTTTCTCTATGTAGGGTTTCTTCTTGATACGGCTTAGGTCTTCCTGGAGGCCGTCCAGGAGGAAACCAAGAAATTCTTGAGAATCTTGCTGGCCCCAACCGGAGAAAGTGCTACGGCACCGGCCGATGGTTGATTTGAACTCACGCGGAGTCACCGATGACTTTGACTCGCGATATATTTCCTTGAGCAATCGTCCGTACGTGATAGCCACTTGGCCGTGGTAGCCAAGAGGATTGTCTGTGTTGAGCTCCTCTTCATACTCGGCCGTGAGAAAGTATTTGGTCAGTTCCTCCACGCTCCGGACGCACTGCAGTGCGGAATTCATGTAACAGGTGTTGCCCAAGTTCTGGAGACCAACGGCTCCTGTGCTTCGACCGGGTCTCTTGTGCTGAGCTCTACCTCGGGTGACTGGACCAGAACGTATCGACGCCGCAGGGCTGCTCCGACCACTGTGGGCGTCCCTAGACTGGGGGAGAAGGCTTGTCCCACTTGCCCTCGAGGCAATGGCCTTACTATTGCCACGCTTCTTAAAGTACGTCGACACGAAATCGCCCTTTTCGACTTCTTCGTCTAAGACCAGAATCTGGTCCTGGGTGAGAGCGAACAGGGAAAGCGGGCTCTTTCCGTTGTAGTTCTGGTTGCCCGTGTGATCAACGGCCTCTATCTTGCAACGACGGGACGCTTCCACGCCCAGATAGGTCGAGACATCTACAAGAAGACGATTCCAGAGCTCCGGAGCCAGGTTTTGTTCAGGGTCGGGGGAGTCGGGAGGTGTAAGAGCAGAAGAAGGAACTGGGTCCGATGCGGCAGGGCGAGGCTGAGGCATGATAGAAAACACCCTCATCTTGCGCTGCATAGGGATACGCGTTTTCCTCTTGAGGTCCTTGAAGAACTCGTTGTAGGGTGTCGTGACACTCCTGACGAGCACGGCTGGCAGAGTGTCCTGCAACTGGGTTTCCAGGGGTATGTCATTCGTGCTGGACCATAATCGATGGACGGTAAACACAGGCGGGTTAAGCTCAAAGACGATGTTATCAGGGCTAGCAGCATCAGGGGCGGTGTTGACTGCGTAGCGCTTGATTGGAGCCTGACCTTCCTTCAGACCATACCATTCTATGAGCAAGATCCAGGCATCTTCGGGGAAGAGCTCCAAGTCCTCCATGCCCACGCCTGGCTTGAGCTGTACAAACTGCAAGCCATCTTCGAGTGACAAAATGCTTTGGACGATGTCTGAGTTGTCGACGGGTCCCAGGGGTTGGCCGAGAAACTCTTTCCTTGCATATTTCGGGTCGCCTCCGAAGGCAAGAGCCCTGTTTACCCAAGATTTGGAAACTGCGTATGCAACGTCGCCGACTTTGGGAAGACACTCGCTGAAAGTTTGAAGAAGGGTCTGGATGGTCTTGATTTGTTCAGCTAGTGGTGGGGGCTCTGTCGATAGATGACCGCGTCAGCTCAACCACGACCCTACATTGATCTAATGATCACGAAACAATGACCACACAGCCAAGGGAGGCAGGAGTTGGGGGGCAAGCGGAAAAATACCTGTCGTCCTGTCCCTGCTAGCCGCCGTAGTAGGTTCGGGGAGGTCCACGCTCATGGCCCTGGGGTAATGCGTTCTCTGTGCTGGGGACACGGCGACTTCCTCCTCGGCGTTCGTGCGTCCGTCGGGATTGAGGTTGGAGGCCGAAAACGAGGGCTTTTCAGTTCCGTTCATCACGGTATCATGCCCCGGTTCCATGCTGGAAGCGCGTCTTTTCAAAGGGGAGGAGGATCGTTGAGGTAGGTCGGCATCGCCCGTCATGATGACGTGGCGAGGGATGTTCAGGGGCGACTGGCTCCTGGCTGGGTACCTGTCGGACACGGACAGCACAGTGCCAGTCTCAGGACCCGAAAGATCTCCTCCTCGATCGCTATCAATATAAAGCTCCGCAACGCCCGTCGGAGTGGAGGCCGTGCTCTCCGCGTATTCGGCCGAGATGTGAGAGATGTATTGGGTCGTCTGCAGGCGTGGGGGCAGACTGGAAGCAGGGTGTGAGTCTATGTCGGGAAAAGACCGAGATTCGGTGAACGATAAGGCGGGTTCGTCGTCGGCTTCGCAAGAGGGCAGAGCTCTGTCCGGAGACGAAGCGCTAGGTGATTCGGCGGGGTATGCGTGGCGGGGGGAAATTCTTCTCTTCTTTGAGGAAGACGTGGTGACTGTGAGCTGCCGATGCAGCTCGCGAATGATGTACGAGGGAGCTGCGAGTGTAGTTGATAAGATAGGGGCGGAGAACCAAGACGAGGAGGGCGTTGGCTGTGCTTTTGTCGAAGTGGAAGTTCTTGTTGCATTTAACGGCGCTCGGTCAGCCAAGGCAGAAAGGATGGCGAGCTCTCGGAGAGGAAAAGATTGTAAATCATGTACTCCGTACCCCCGTTATTACTTTTTTTCTCGGTGGGGTTTTCTCTTTCCTTTTTTTCTCTCTCAAAAAAGGAAAGAAAGAAAGAAAGAAAAAGATAAAAAGAGAAAGCCAGGGAAAATAGAGGGGAAAGAAAGGGCTAGGATCAACGACAGCAAGTCAAGGATACCTTAGGGAAGGGTGAGAGAGTACGACCGAGTTAAATGAGTTTTGAAGGACAAGTAGCCTAGGAGTATTAAGCGACGGGCTGGTGTGGAAGGGCTATGACCTGCTACAAAGTATACCCGAATATCGATTCGTTTGTAGTGTACAGAGGAGATGGGACGGCAAATCTGGGGGATGTGGACACGCCACTGAAGGTCCAAGGAAGAAAAAGTCTTCGGTCGCGGTTCCAAGGTATCCAGGACAGGCACAGCTGAGTACACAGTACAGTATGAGTACACCGTACAGTGTGAGAAGATAATAAGTACCTGGTAGGAAGGCCTGATATGTATGGGAGCGGTAAGAATACAAGCATACGGTGTATATTCATCATACACACTGCTCTCCCCAACCCCCACTCTTACAGGTAACTGCTTTCGTAGAGCCACCAAGCAATTGTGATGACCTTTGTTTGTTTGTATGCACTATAGGTAAGGTACCTTAATAACCATGCACTTGATTAGAGAGCAAAGAGAGGCCCTGGGCTAGTTGCCTTCCTACCAGGGGTTCACTATATACGTCAGTACTGGGACAAACAGGCCGAGAAGCAACGAAGGCGAGAAGAAAATCCGAGGCAACTTTGTGTGCTTATATCAAAAGAATTAATGATGAGATAGGATCCAGAGGTTGAGGGTTAAAGTATGCACAGATATCATAAATTCGCTCACCAACCGAGTTTCATTCGCCCAACGCCTCGTTGATCCTACCCGCCGATACGGCCGATGCGATAAGATTCACAATCCTTCACCATATATTGCGTTCCCTCGTAAGGCCCGAGGAATGGCAAGCCAAAAGAACGGGACTTTTGCTATCACTGAATCTCACAACTCTATGCTGTCGTTCCGTCACATGACCTACCCGACGAATGTCATCTGCCCACCCACCCGAACTTTCCGGGACCTCAAAACGCCGCCCATGCGGAGAACCAGCCTGCCATGAGAGTATCTATAGTTTCGCATCCAGGTCTTCGTACTCGCTCAGATCCTTGACCGGCCGGGCTCCGGGTGTCGCCTGCAGGCTTGCCCGGAAGTCACGGACGTCAGTAATAACCTGTGGCTCCCGTCCCTCGTTTGACGCGCCCTCGCCCTGTGAGCCGTTCACTTTGGGCCCCGTCTCGGGCTCTTTAGCAGCGGCAAGCACTGCCGCAACGTTGTCCTCCGACAACTTCAGTTCGTTCTTGAGATACAACTGAAGGTTCTCCGCGTCGCTCCGTAGCTCGGGCCGGAGGAGAGCAGCCTTGACCTTTGTCTCTTGGCTCTTGTCCACTTTCAGACTCTCCAACAAGGCCTGCATCTTCTCGCCCGACTGGGCAGAGCCTTGAGCGACAAGATGTACCGACAGCTGGGCCCGGGTCGGCGAGCCGGGCTTGATGTACCGATTGAAGAATTCTATCATATCGGCCTTTGTGAGCTTCTTGATATGCTTGGCATCTTGTCGGGCTATGTCAAGCTGCACGTCAGTACTCTGTACACGAACGAAAAAGTTATGTGGACACGTGGCGCTTTGGACACTCACCTTGGTCGAAGCAGAAATATTCATTCGAAATGTGCGACCAGTGCCTATTACTTTCCTGGTCGAGATTCTTTAGCTTCTCCAACCTCTTCACAATCAGACTTCGCTTGTGGCCTTCAAACTCCGCATCGGACATGTTCTCCAGCGTCGTCGCAAACAGGTTCAGGAAGGCTTCGATCCTGGACTCCAGGTACTCGGGCCGTCGTTCGCTCTGGATGATAAACCGGAACCCGTAAGTTGTCGAGAAGGTTCGAGCGCCGCTGAACACGACATACCCAAGTTGCTCTTTGGTACGTAGTTGATCAAACGCAGGTTCATGCGCCATCTGATCCAACAGGAGCGTCTTGGCACGCACCCAGTAATCACCCTTGTCGCCGACGTAGAAGAAGGTCTCGAGGCAGTGGTTGACATTGGCCGGATCCTTGAGCGACTTCCTGTACACATAATTCGACCCTGGGGGCAGAATCAGAGACCGGATGACGGGCCACTGGGCTTGAGGCAGTATCCGAGGCTTCAGCGTCGAGCAAACCATCTCGGTTATTTTCAGTGCATCCTCTTTGTATACGTTCCCGTGAACGAATGCTTCGATCCGCATTTGCGACAGCATCAGCTTCTTGAACTGGCGGACATCCTCGGCGGTAATGCTGGGTAGCTCAGCCAGGTACTCCTCAACGACGTAGTCAACCTCCGAATTGAGCCACGATGTGTAGTCGGAAACCTGGTTAAAGGGCTGCTGGAGTTCCCAGTTATTGTACCCTCGGTTGAGCCGTTCTTTGACAATCTCAAATCTGTCGTCCTTGATTTCGAGATCGCGGACCATGACGAGGACTTGCTGCAGAAGGACGGCTAGTTTGTCGTTGTAGCCACTAAGGTCTAAGAACAGACCACGTGCGTCGAGCGAGACGCTGTACTGCAATCCCGCTAACTCGGCGTCGTATGAATATTCCTCCAGAGCATCTCGTACCAGGTACGTGAACAACTTGGCCTTGACGGCATTCGCTGCTGAAGCATAAACGTTAGGGTTACGGCAAGAGACGACCACGTTAGCCTTGGGGACCCAGAATGTATCATCCTTCTTAAACCAGGTACGTGCCAGAAGGTCCTTGCGAACAATACGCGGCGCCAGAGCGGGTTCCTTCACCTCCTTCTTCTCGACCTCAAGTTTCGTAGGGATGAAATTGTTCTTGTGAGGAAGGTGCAACTGAGGCAACCGCTCATCGGAGGTGCTCGACCAGGCACGTTCGATCTCAGCAAGAAATTCCTCGGGGATCTTCTCGTAGCGGTATTCCGTGCCGTACCACTTCTCCTTACGGTCCCAGTTCCCTGGGAAGCTCCTCGAAACGATGGTGAAGCGCATGTTGTCGGGCCTGAGGCAGGTCAATCCCTGCTCAATAAGGCCTGCATCGAATTTCCTCAGCCGGCTATGTCCGCTGAGAAGCCACTCGCGAGGGAGGGGTTTCTGCATCCCGGAGCTGATCTTGCTCGTAAATCGACTCGCGGGAGTCTTCTGCTTGAACTTGAAATTCACATCCGCCATGCCCTTCTGTTCTTCGAATATCCATTCTTGGGCTGGCGTCTCCTTCAGCAGCGAGATGTACTGGAAGAAGACCTTAACGATCTTCTTGTAGTTCTTAAGGCCCTACAAAAAAAATTGGCGTTAGAAACGTGCGTCATGAGGCTATATAGCATATTACCGCCGCAACTTACCTCTTCGGTTAGGCGTATCTGGCACTCGAAGATACCCCCGGTCCCAGGACATACGGAGTAGGCACCAGCGTTAAGGCCATTCGCCCAGCCCTCGGACTTGAGGTAGGCCATAATACTGCCTGGCCCTTCATGGCCGATCAGATGGCTGAGATATCGGCTAGGCTGGGTCTCGAACAACATTTCTTCGTCGAGGAATGGGAAACATATGTTCAGCTCTCTCGAATCCATGACTGGCTTAGCAAAGACTTGCATCCCAAGCTCGCTCTTTCGGAGGGGCACCTCATCCTCCCAGCGATTTCGGGGCAGATTTTTATCGGGAACGGCAGAGAAAAACTCGGCGACCCATGCCTGAAGTACATCCAGAGGTTCCCTTCCGAGGACAACCATCTTCATGCGATTGGCAGAATAATGCTTCTCGTGGAATTTTATGAACTTCTCGCGCACATTAATCCCACGCGCTTCAGGCTGCACCTTGAGGACCTCGAGGTTACCAGTCGAGAAGTGACAGTAAGGATGATTGGGATTCGAAAGAGATTTTTCAAGCTGGTGAAGGCGCCATGAATCACTCTGCAGGTTCTTCTTGTTCTCAGAGTCCACGGCGCGAAGCTCACGGTCCAGGGTCGACTCGAGGAACAGAGGCTCGATGAAGAACTGGGCAAATCGATCCAAGGCGCCCTTCAAAGGGGAGGGATTCTCGTCTGAAGGTTCCTTATCGTCGGCTGGCCGCGCAGAAACTTCGAAGAAGTAATTGGTTGATGTAGCGCCGGTGTAAGCATTCGAGCTACCCGAGTTCGCCGCCAGGTATTGCGAATATTCGTTCTCGACGGGATACTTCTTGGTGCCCATGAATAGAAGCTGTCAAGAGGAGACGGAAGAAATAAGTGATAGAGGTTAGCATGAGCACGCAAAAAAATTCGATACCAAGTACAGCAATGGGTCGTTGTGTGACTAGGGCAGGCGGTATGCTTACGTGCTCCACGGCATGTGCCATTCCGGGCATATCAATCTCGTCGCTGAAGTTGCCCACATTGCAATCGAGGGCAGCGCTGGCTTTGTCGGTTTCTATATCATGGACAAGCAATACCTCGAGGTTGTTGGACAAACGTATGACTCGATATTTCCGGTTGTCAAGTGATGGAGTCTGGAGGCGATCAGTCACGACCTCCACAGGCTGGGACTGAGACTCGGCCGGCACTGGGAAATCGAAATTTCGGGGCGCCATTCTTGTTCTTGCGAGAGCAGGTGATGGGTGTAGTCCAGAGGGCCTATCGGGGGCGGAAGATCTGGAGGAAGAATGGAGACGACCAAGCCGCAAGAGGACGGTTTGAGGGACAGCTCCTGTAACTGCTCCCGGGCGGCTGGTTGTAGAACTGGAGAACGAAACCCGGAACCTCGTTGGGACAGATGTCAAGCGGGAAAGCGGTCGGATACCACTCGAGGCGTTGGACCTGAAGGACGCCAGGGCGGTCTACTGCAAGACGGCTCGGCGGCTTCTGAGCTCAATTGGGCGTCCAAGTACCGAAGGAAGTGTATACCTTTGAGTAGAAGGCAACGACGCTGACTGAGATTCCCGTCTGGGCCGGACTCAGGTTAGGCCACCAGTACGACGTATGATCGTTTTCGTCGCTCCTCAGTTCTGGATCGACTTGTTGACGGCGAGATCGGAGAGCAATGGTTGACAGGTTTTTCTTTCGCGGGGGGTTTTTTTTTTCTGCCACTGAGAAGAACCAAACGTAGGACTCAGGACCCGGGGTCGGTAGGTCGGGGACCAGGGGACAGGAGGGGGTTGGTTGGCGTCAGGATCGGCACTATGCAGGTGGGTTGCAGTTGAGCAGGTACCTTGACGGCCAGTCAGTGCGTTTCGAGTGCTAGGCAATGACTCCCACGTACCACACACAACCTTACCATAAGGATGTACTCTGTGCTGCGCATGAGTCGGTCTTGCATGGAAGTGATACCAAACAATCCCAAAAGGGTACCTTAACTATTCTTCCTCTTACATATTAGAATTAGGTATCTTCCTGACCCAATCAAGTACTATTCATTCCTATTCCCCCTTTTCCAATAGGGGAGGTACCCATCCTCGACTTTCCCACGCCCAATACCAGCGAGTCGGGTGGGATCCTGGACCCATCCTGCTGCCCATTACGTAGACTAAGGTAGCTAATTACAGGCTACTCATGCTACGCTCCACCCTTTCGGGCCTCCCTATGAAGTCCTCCGGGGTACCTTATCCATCTACCTATACGAAGTACTCTGTACATGCTTCAAACCCCAAGGTAAAACTGACAGCGGTCAGGACAATCACAGCCAAAGGAAAAAGGGGAGCGGGGAGAGAAGGAAGAAAGGAAGACAAAAGAAAGAGAAAGGTCTTTTATTAAGCAGCGGTTATATGTCCTGCCCTTCTCGCCAGAACGAGGACGAGCTTTTAATGGTGACTACACAACCAGCAGAGGGGGGAAATACAGGGCGGGGGGATTTCGGTTGCCGGCCTAAGGCCTTCGGCGACCTGTGTGACAACTATCGTGATATGCTGAAAACCCTCTTCTTCACCAATCCAACTAAGCCACGGGAATAAGGATTATTCGTAGAGTTCGGATGAGGAACAGTCTCAGCTTACTTTTCCCGTGCCATTGGCATGGGTATCTCAATACCACGTATGTCGGAATGTACTCCGTACAGCCCAATGTAACCCGACCGCTGTACGGAAGGATGAATAGCGCGGGAGACACGGGAGGCATATCGCTCGCTCGCCATTTCAACCCGTCGCATGCTTGGCTAGCTTCAAATTCCAAGACACCCGGCGGTGTATCAAGTATTTACTTGACTTCTGGGGAGTTGAGCCATCGTGGCACGGTTGTGGCAAGTAGGGTAACCAGAGAGTTGGTTCCAAACAGTGCCTCTAATCATTGACTGCCTGCTCAGTGCCAGAAACGAATCAAGGCTGCTTATAATTAGAGGTCATGCAAAAAGATTCTCATTGAACTGGGAAGACATGTATCGAAATCCAAGCTCACCGCTTCTCTGTAATAGACAATAAGAGACGAGGTATACCCCACAGCGGCGCATTGTTCGACTATCCTACGGGATAACTACGAATGGGAGCTCGGGAGGATACCAACAAGCTTGAAGCCGGTCCAGTTGTATGATGATGCAAGATAATCATTAGCACTCCGACAGTGACGATTTGCTGGCATCTTCCGTGATTACCCCGGCTTGGATCAATGGTCGGAATTCGTTGGTGTGAAAGACACGGCAAAGCATCGATCATGAAGAAGTGACGAGCTTGGTTTCCTTCTAGGCGTTACGGTTCACGTAGGATTCGTAGTCAGCATACGTTGAATTCTCAACGACCGTAGCATGAGGAACAAATCCTCCCATATCAAAGCTGAGCTTGAGAGATGGAAGTCGGTTTCTTGCCCGTTCATTTCTGTTTCGTTTCGTTTCGTTTTTTGTTGCTTTTCGTTTGGTGTTTGTTTCATGACCCCGCATGCCGCGGGGATTTAAAAGAGGACTAGTGCGAGGCAGGGGATAGAGATGAGGGGTTCTGACCGAGTTCGCCAGGTGGGCGGGCAATATAGGGACCATGAGGATATCTGGTATATCCGCATCGCAATGTATTGCGTGGGAGCCTTCGAGTGCTGTGTACCTTCAGTACTAGTTCTGCGATGTACGGATGACAAGAAGACAAGTCGTAGCCTTCCAGGATCATTCTGCAGACAGTTGGAGTTCCCACTCCAAATCTCTTACCGTAGAGTTTGGTATGATTCAGTTGTCTTTCATGCTATTTCCTGTACAGACCAGATAACGGTGACATTTCAATACCTTATGGTAAGGATGAAACCATATCGGTGGCTCTGGTATCTTCTTCTATCTGACGCTCTGATATCGCACCTGCATTTGATGTCATTAAAAAAAATAAGGCTTCGATTGATGTTTGCGCTTTGACTCTGAACCATCCGGATTTATCTTTGGTTCGAGAGCCGGGCACATATGGCTCGAGTTCCAAGCCTCGCCCTGGTTAAGCTTCAGACGAAAGGATGGCTAATTCGAGTCCCATAGCCTCTAGACACGGAGGTCGATAATCCCCCAGCACTTCCCGCTCCTGTTTCGAAATATCCCTTAATCCAATAGTCTCCCCTTCTTCCAACTTCGTTAAAGCGGACTCGGGATTCACGTGTGAAGCTAAAGGAGGAGTTAACACCCATGCGCAGTACAACATAAGTGACCTCGGGGGCATAGGCTGCAACGAGCTGCAGGGGTTTAATGGTGAGGCCGACGTGGTTCAAAACCACAGGCAATCCTCCTGGTTTCGCATGTGGCTAGCACATACCCAGTCCATTATTTCCTCAGTAGGGCCTGATGATGGTGTGCGGTAATTTTGACCATGGACAATCGGCCCGGAGAAATGAAGGTGGCAAGGATGGATGGGTGAGAAGGAGGGCGGCGCCTTGCCCGACCAAAGAGTGGATAGAGCACTCCCTTTCGACCTCCCTCGTGATGAAATCTCATTGACTGACCACAAAGCCAACGGAGCTGTAATCCTGTGGTGGCTGGGCAAAAACGACAAGCGTTTGGTAGAGCCAGTGTGCCTGAAACAAAGGAAGAGAGGACACAATTGATATTGTAACCCTGGTTTGGATTCTCAACATGAACTCGATATCGTCTGGGTATCATATTTGCCTACCTTGTTGAGCTATCAAGGTAGAGTCCAAGGCATGGCTGCCCAACCGTTGGTGTGGTGGGGACGTGCAGGTCAACCACTGTTTCCCAACTCATTGTACAAAACACTTTTCTTGTTGCTCTCTCTGTAGCCCGATTTCGGTCCCTTCCAAGAAGCCATATCCAAAACCGGGATGGAATGAAGAGAAAGGGAAAGAAAGAAAAGTGCAAAGGTTCTCATAAAAATAGGCTGGACCAACATCTAACACCATGTGACCCGGTCAACAGGTCCGCATATCAGCCTCATCAACGGGAAGACTTTTGCTTCTGGCTTTTGCGTCGCTGCTTATTTGGGCATTCGGCCATTTTGTGGCCTTGTTGGCCGCAGGTATGGCACGTAAAATTTGAGCCGCGCGAGAACCCCCCGACACCGCCCCCGGAGGAGATGGAGGAGATGCCGCCACCCCCCGATATAGATTTGTTCAGGTTCACTAGTCGTTGTTTTCGTTTGTCCCTGAGCCCACGCGCATTTTCTGCCTCTAGGGCCTGTTTGGAAGAAGAGGCGACCTGGCGTCGTGACGTGCCGTCCGCCCGCTGTCTGAACCTCTTCGGCGATTCACCATCTGAATTATCGTCGCTTGAAGAACTGTCATCTGATGACTCTTCGTTGTCTGGATTCTGCTCATGGTGTTAATCGCCATTGATTAAAATGCGCCAAGGTCTTGTCGCCGACGTACCTTGTGATCTGCAGTCTTGTAGTTGCCAACTATCCTCCTACCAGCCGGTGGTTCATCCTCTCGGCCGTCCGCAGCATCTATTTGAGCGAAGCTGACGTATTCGATGTCGCGCGACGGCTGGGCAGCCGTAGTCTTCGACTTGACCCACGAATCATCAAGGACCCATTGTGTATCGGCTAGGTCAGCTTTGTGCTTCACTAAGGCGGCCTGTCGCACGGCCTCCTGCTGCTTGAGTGCTGCCTCGATCGCCGCCTCGTCGAAGGAGTGGAACTCGCCTGTCAGGGGAGAGTTGTCGACCTTGCGGCGCTTGGTCGACGAACTATCTGAAGCGGGCGTCGAGGCGGCGGATTCGGCAGCGGCAGCTCTTTGCATGAACTTCATGGTCAGCAAACGAGAGGAGATGCCCCTACTGGGGGGCGTTTCCGGCGCCATGTTTCCTGATGACATCTTGATCGGGATTCCAAGCTACACTGAGCTTTGCAAAGAACCTAGCCCTGTAGCAAGGGAGCAGTCGTTGGGTTGATTGAAGTTGCGACTCCGCTGGAATACAAAGCTTCACATCTGGCGCGCAAGCACACCAAACTTTGTTACACTTTAATCCGTAACGGCGGAGGGCTGAGAGTTACTGAACTCTGTGCGCAATGTCGTTCGTGATTATCTGCCAAGGACCATTAGAAAATTAAAAGTCTGGTGTGATTCAACGACGCAGGCCATCTAGTGGTGATACCGTGAAAGAAATTCAAGAACAAAAAAAAAAACCCCCCCCCGAATTATCATTGATGAAAGCGCGCCGAGACCATTCTTGTTAGCTTGTACCTTGGTACTTCTCTTAATTACCTTAATTGGCACCCAGCCTATAGCCCTTCGGTTAAAGTAATATCCATGCTCCGAACCAATCAAACCACCGGCATTCCAATTGATCGATGAGACCTCAGCCCCAAACTCGACTTGAACATCTCGTCAGTCCTCGGCCATCTAATCCACCTAGGTAGCCGACTCAACTCGAACCAGCACGATGATGTCTGCATCCAGGCGAGCGACTATTCAGCTGTCGCGGCAGCTGCGCGTTGCCCCGCGGGCCTTCTCCGTCTCCGCGGCCTTCCGTACCACTGAGGCCCCAGCCGTTACCGAAAAGAACGAAGCCGCGACCCCCCAGGTCGCCGACAATGCTGTCCCGAGGGAGATCTCCCAAGCCCCTAACCGGACGGGTGTTTGGTCGCGGAGCCAAAAACCTCGAGCTCAGGCCATGACGGGCCCTCGTTTTGAGCAGGCCGACTTTTCTCTCCAAGTATGAGCTTTGCCAGATAACCTAGTAACCATTTCTCCGGAGCTCGGCACTGACCTCAATCGTCTTTTTACCTTTCAGCCCCAACCCTACTCAGCAATGGAACTCATCCACGAGCAGCCCGTTCGGTGGACGCACGAGCGCATCGTTGCTTGCGACGGCGGCGGCGGCCCCGCTGGTCATCCGAGGATCTTCATCAACACAGACAAGCCCGAAATTGCCGCTTGCACTTACTGCGGTCTGCCTTTCGTACGTGACTTTGGGATATGTTTGGTGCGAAATCTGGAGAAGGATAGACTGGAGACTGACCGACGAGACGTTAGGCCAACGAGCATCACCGAAAGCACCTCGAGTCGCTGCCCGAGACATCCTACCCTCTTGCGTAGAGCCCTTTTCAATGGGTATATCGAGTTTTGCGATTTGGGAAACTGTGAGAAGGAGCGGGTGTGCGATAAAGTAGAGGCTTGGTCCCGTGTATATACGGAAGCCCACGACCTAGCAATTCAACTGATATTCCGCGCTTCTGCTTTTTGTTGGCGCTCATCTGGCCCCCTGATACAATTAGAACATCAAGAAATCAAATGTTAAAAAACGTTAACAACCGATCTGGATCTGGTGGCTGACGACTTCCAGAGCTCTGAATATCCTGTCCATGGCCAGCGTTGTTATTCCGTGCTCACGCACATCTTGCACGACCGCACAGTGGGGGAAAAGGAGTTTAATCCCAAGTACCAATTAAGCTTTGTTAAGATCTGTACATGTCACAATACGATATGTAGCATGGTAAGTTTAGATACATCATAAAAAGACATTGACCCAGGTTGCTGTTGGGGAAATCGGGTTGTCTTTGCATCTTCAATGCCCTTGCAGTCTGCAGCCCCAAGACGGTCAACTGCCCCCACCTTGCCATAGCCAGTTACATCATCCAGCCCGCTGCCCGCACGACGGGACAAGTCAACCATCAGGTAGTATTTCACTTGAAATATGCCTCGAGTCCAATTCAACGCATCTTCGTCGACACTTCTTCTCGTCGCCTTCATTCTGCTCTGTTTCTTTCCAGGCCTTTTCCACTACCTTTGGACATTTCCCCTCGTCTCCATCGGGCTCCTCTCACCCGACTATACCCCGCCGTCCACTTCGACGTCCGATCCTAGGACAACAACAACAACAACAACAACAACAACAACAACAACGATGACGACCGCTTGGTTCCAAAAACAATTCAGCCTGCCTGCCAAGTCGCGTGGGTCATATCTTATCACAGATACGGTAGTGCGCGAGCTTCCTGAGATCCGCGGTTATAAGGTCGGCATCCTGCACCTGTTCATTCAGCACACGAGCTGCGGGCTCAGCCTCAACGAGAACTGGGACAGCGATGTCCGGGAGGACATGAGCGATGCGCTGGACCGCATTGCGCCCGAAAGCGGACCTAAGGGAGAGGCTCTGTACAGGCATGATGCCGAGGGTCCGGATGACATGCCGGTATTATTGATTCCATTTCTTTTGTCGTTACTTTTAGGATCTGCCTAGTGTGTAAAGAGGTAAGAGGTAGGTCACAGGGACTGACAGGGCAATTAGGCGCATATCAAAAGCGCACTCGTCGGCGCAAGTGTCACGATCCCGATTAAGGATGGAAAACTAGTAAGTCGTTGCCACGTCTTTCTTCTAGCTTACTCCCGTCTCGAGTTGCCCATCTACATGATATGGCACCTTTTCTTTTTGGTATACAAACAAGTTAACCATCCTACCCTAGGCAACGGGAACGTGGCAAGGAATTTGGTATCTAGAATTTCGGGCCTCGAAACATCAGCGCCGAGTCATGGCCACCATCCAGGGCGAAAAGGCATGACTGGCTTCCACGGCGCCAACCAGATTGTGACGGGAGCCAAACGATAGCGGGCTTCGGCGTAGTGGGTGAAATTAAAATGGCGGCTGCTCCACGACGACCCAAGCCAGATCAGTTGTTTTGGAATTTCCACATTCCGGCCGTAGAACTCAGGTATAATATACAGGTCATGCCTTTGTGGCCTGCGCCGAACGCCTTGTCGTCTGTCCGTGTACCGTCCCTTTCCATCTCAATGTCTACTACCCCGTACTGCTTGCGGTACGATGCCATGCTTGGACTCTTCCACTATGCTGCACCGTTCTCTTCCTTGATTCCCTCGTTCATCTCGGTGTCATCGCCGGCTAGGACCTTCGTGGACGGAACATAGCCATCTGGCGCGCCGGTACCGGGCGTGACGGCGACAACTTTGCCGTTGTCGTCGACGAACTCGAAGTTGTACCGGCTGAGGAGGTGGGGAATTGCTGACAGCTGAGGTCCGTACCGCTGGGTGTTATCGTAGAGTTCGAACAGGGGGACGGCAAGTAGTTTCATGTTCTTCGGCACGCTGAGGACTTCTATAATTTCGCGGGCATCGCGGTCAGCAACAGTGTTTTCGTCGCGCCGAGCCAAGAGGGGCAAGAGAGAGAAGGGGGGAACAGGGGTGACAGGGGGATCCATACTGCTCTTCGGTAGTTGGATGAGGTACAACTTCTTGCACTCTTTCGGCCGGGTAACGTGCGCGGGAATGAAGGGATACATAAAGGTCTCGAAATTGGGACGCCACCACTGCGCGAGGCAGTCGCCAACCTGCCAGTCACCGCGCTCTTCGCCCTCGCCAATGCGTCCGACTGGGGCCAGGCGCTCGTCGAGACGCGCCTTGAAGCCCTCGATCTCATCATCTTCGGGCCGCAGATAGTCTCCTGGAAGCTTGAAGAAGGCATTGGCGATCTGGAGCATTAGGATGTGCGGGTGGTTGTGTTCGTGACAGACGAGGATGCCCTCGCACGTGCGGCGCATCCCATACTGGCTGTAATGCTCCTCGAGGCGCTTCAACCGCGCGATTACCGACGGGTCCTCTTCGGGTTGCGTCTCCTTGACGCCGAAGGTATAGTTGGACAGTGGGTAGAGCCGGACGGTCTCGGACTGGTTGCCGTTGAAAGAGAGCGGAATGATGGGAGGATGGGAGGATTGGAGGGCAACTTCTGTTATTGTCGACATGGCTGATGCACACTTTTTAGTCTAAGAAGATTCGGTGTTTGGTTTCGTGTCTTCTCCTAGGATGCGGTGATGTCCTTGAGGTATCGGATGGGGGGATGCACGAGCTGCGATGAAGCTCAAGTTCCTATCCGTAGTCAAGCTCACGCCCAGTGTTTGGGTTCCAGGTTGATACGGGAAATAGTGGATATCGTGTGAAGGGTCCAGCAGGTAGCTCAATGGTGATTATGTAAGCCACCTTCGGGGATATGCCCAGGGTCAAGCCTTCAAGTCGACTTCACGTTTTGTCTCCCAGTCGTCGTAGACTCGTAGGAATATCCCTGCCGATTATCGTGATTTGGATCATGTCTCATCGGCTTGTTCATCAAGCCTCTTGTGTCTGTATAAGGTACCATACAGGGCATCTTTTGGTCCACTGTGATTACCAACTGAGCGCCTTATCTTGGTAATAACTTACGACCACTACGCAGGATGTGCGTCCAGTCCGCTCTCTTCTTGAATATCAAGTTTCGGCCCGCATCCCTTTGCCAGGCGGTTTCTAAGTCTACACTAACGCTGGCCCGCTTTAATTTACGTAAGTTAATAGCTAGCCTTACGTTTGTACTAATACTACCGCCCGGACCCGTTTTACGGGATTTAGCAGTGTTTTTCGGGGGACTTTCGGGGGACTTACTTTTATAGTATATAGCTATATAGCCCGTAAACTAGCGGTACTTTTAAGTTATATAGCTTTTACTGTAAATACCGCGGTAGGTTATTAAGGGATTAGAGTACGGATCGCCCGTAAATTAGACGTATAGACTATATCGCTGTGTCTCCTATCTGCTGCCTATATTCTACGGTGCCCGTAGAGTTTTTTATATAGCGTTATATCATGTTATTTACGCCGTTAATATAGTTAGCTAGCCTAATTTAGAGCCGCGAACCTACCGTGGCTATAAGAACCTTAAGCCGTTTTCTGACTTTGGTTATTATCCTCGGGTACGTAGGATTTACGCTACCTGTATAACGTGTCGTGCTACGAGGGTAACTAACCGAAACGCCCGTTAAGCCGCCCGTTAAGCCGCCCGTTAAGCTGCCCGTGAAGAACCTCCTATAGGTTCGGCGGCTCCTCCTCCACCTATTCTAATAACCCACCCTCTAATAGATCCTACCCCGGTTCCTCTATATCGCCGCCGCGCCTGTTAGTAGAGATAAGGCCTATAGGCTACCCCGGGAAGTTACTATACGCACTATAGGCGTTACCTTCTAAGTATTAATTTTGCTATACGGCGTAACGGTGCCGCGTATAATATCTATAATACCTGCCACGTTATAGCCCGTCGTGAGAGAATAGCCGTTAATACTAGCTAGCGTAATACGAATATCGACCGTCGCAGACGCCGCGAAGAATATACTAAGCCGTTAGGGTGGTATTAGCCGGGTATTACGGTTAATTACTATAACCTTAGATTAATACGGGTAGAGTGTAAATATTACGCTATACTCTATTAGATTAGGGAGAAGTTATAGGTTAGTTTTCTATCCCGCGTTACTAGTCGTTAGCTAACGGCTATTATCTTCTATTACTTAGGAATTATCGCCTATAAACCCGAAATCTAGCACCTATTATAACTAGGGCGATATCGATATTCCCGTTATCTCCCCGCTACCCGACTTCTTGTAACGTTTACTATACGCGAATACCGCTTAAGCTATAGATTATCGTAAAAGAATCCGTTAATATAATAATACCTTTTCGTTTACGTCTATATAATATACTAAGACCCGTTAAGGTGCTACGGCCGGCGGCGTAATAGCCTTCTAGATCCACGGCACCCTCTACCACTATACTAGGCTATTAAGTGCTATAGGTCGACTTCCCGCCTTTACCTAGCTATACTTTTACGACCCGTAGGCTATTACCGACTAGCGCCTTACGAATACCTAAAGCCTTAACTATACGCTTAACCGTTATATCCTAGGGGAAATTTCGGACTTCTTGCACGAGTATAACCCCTTCGTATAAATATATAAAACGGCACGTAAACGCTTTAACTCCCTCTGTGAATAGTGCCGTATTATACTTAACTCTAGGATAGAATTAGTTATTAAGCAGGGTGCTAATATACGACGTGAGAATCTGCCCGTTACGGATAAGGTTACGGCTATTATACCGGATAAGTAGGGTAAAGTCTGCTACTATAATATTATCCTCGTAGAGAGACGGTCTAACGGTAGCGTAGGCGGCCTTACGCGGATCAACCACGAGTATTCTGCCTACCTACCACTATCTTACCCGCTTATATATCCGCGTGGCGGTTCCGGATATTACTAGCAGTTATAGTTACGGGATATTTATAACCGTTAGCGGCAGAATACCGAGGTTAAGTTCCGTTAATTCTACCGTTATATACTATACCCGCGATACTAGTAGAGGTTCGTGCCCTTTATATACGGCCGTCTTTTTTAGTAGTTTTTAGTGGACTTATAGGTATCCTGCGATTAGAAGAAGCTTAATTAGATCTAGCGCTATTAGAATAAGATACGGGCTAATATATATAACGGGATACGGGATTAGGCGCACGAGGCCGATAGCGATACCCGTAATATTAGCCGACGGATCGTCTTACCCTTAAATTACGTTAGCGGCTAAAGGTTTATCTTATAGTGTTATTAGGATTCTATAGTAATTATACGGGCTTTTAGTACTCCGACCTTTTTTTATCACCTTTACGGCTAATCCTACCTAGCCAGAGATTATACGGGAGCTTTAGCTAGGTTAGACTACTAGTAACCAGCCCGATTTAGTCGGCCGTGTATTCGAGTTAAAGTCCCGCGACCTAGAATACCAGCTACGTGATAGTCTATTTAATAAGTTTACGGGGATTATATAGACCGTGGAATACTAGAAGCGCGGTCTTCTATATCGTTATATCCTTCTTTTCCTTACGCCGCGGGCGGCTAAGATATATAAGGACCCCGTAAATATCGATAAGGTTCTCTTTACGGAGCTACCGGACCACGAGTCGGATCCTACTAGCCGTTTTTTTAATATTATTAGTAAGAATATAATATATAGTTCTTACGGTGATAATAAGCCCTTTACACCGTGTATATAGCCGTAGCCTAGCGATAAGAACCGTATAAAGTGCTCTAAGCGGTTCTCTAAGCCGTACTACCTAAAGACGACTATACGGGGGGATAGTTATCCTAAATATAGGCGCCGTAACTCTAGCCTGCACGTTATAAAGAGAGGCCGCGTAGGAGAGGTCCCCCTTAATAACCGTTTTATTATTTCCTATAGCCCGTATCTCTGCCTCCGCTACAGTGCCTATATTAACGTTAAGATTTACGGATCTATTAAGGTGAGTTATCCTCTCCCGTATATCTACCTCCGTTCTGTACCTTACTAACCTTAATATTTACGGTTCTATTTAGACGATTAAATACGTGTATAAGTACGTTTATAAGGACACCGACCGCATAACTACACGTATATCCGGCAAAAAGGGCGAAGATAAGGTTAATCTCTATCTCCAGAGTCGTTATATCGGTCCCGCGGAGGCCGTTATTCAGTTATTCGAGTTCCCCGTACACCGTGAGTATCCGCCCGCTATACGTCTTCCGGTTTATCTTAAAGGATAGTAGCCTATATACTTCGGCGATAACACAACCATAAGCCAGATTAAGCGTATATTATAGGAGCGGAAGACTTAGCTAATAGCCTTTTTCGACTATAACCATGATAACGCTAATAGCCGCGAGTTATTCTATTACTAGTTTCCTAGCCGTTATACGTGGAAACCGTAGTACTTTACTTAGTAGCCGAGGTAGCGTGGATTTTAAATCGGCCGTCTACGGTATATACCCCTAACGGCTAGAGAGGCGTACTATTTACGGTCACTCTTAGTCTCCGTTTAAGGGCCGACTTCCTTTACCGACCTTTATACCGTGGAGGGGATTATCTATAATACCTACCGCGAGGCCTGCGTTATAGCCGGGCTTCTGCACGATAACTGTTATTAGGTTATCTATTTTAAGGAGGCCGTTATTTAGAAGACCGGGCGTGCGTTACGGGAGCTATTTATCGTCGCTCTAATCCACGGAGACGTTTCCGGTCTAGTATCGATCTAGAAGAGGTTTACGGAGTCTATATACGATAACCTGCCTTACACATTATAGCGCTAGTGCTTCCGATATCCTGCCGATCTAGAACGCCCGTATATCGATTACGGTTTTTATCTTATATACTCTCGGCTCCTTAAGGTAAGCAAGACTATTACGGAGTTTAGGCTACCTGCGCCTTTACACGACTAGCGCTATACGACCGGTAATATATTATTTATTACGGAGACTTACGATCGCGATGCCTAGGCTACGGTGTATAAAGATATCCACCGCCGGTTTAACTAGAGCTAGGCTATAGTATTTAGCTATATCGTGGCTACTATTAAATCTCGTAGCCGCAGCGCCCGTTTCTTTTTATAGAGCCCCGGCGGTATAGAGAAGACGTTTATATACCGCGGTCTCTACGTGTATTTCCGGTCGCGCGGGCAGATTATACTCTACGTGGCGTCCTCTAGCATCGCGGCCGTTCTTCTTAAGGGTGGCTATATAGCCTATTCGCGGTTTAAGATCCCCTTATAGGTTAATAACGCCTTAACCTATAACGTGCTAAAGAATTCGGACCTTATAGCGTTATTATAGGAGACGGTTTTTATTATCTAGGACGAGGTTTCTATATAGTATAAGTTCTGTTTCGAGGCCGTTAATCGTACGTTACGGGATATACTAAGTAACGATTACCTCTTCGGCGGTATTCCGGTTATCTTCGGAGGCGATTTTACCTAGATCCTGCCCGTTATTCGTAATAGTAGTCGGGCGTAGATTATACACGCCTGCTTCTAGCGGTCCTCTATCTAGCCGTAACTTAGTATTCTTTGGCTAACGGAGAATATACGGGTTACCTTTACCGATTCTAATAATCGGGCGTTTATTTAATAGTTATAGGACCTCTCCTATAATACCGAACTTCACGAGTTAGTCGACTTTTCCCCTGCTGTTACGGCTATTTACGATATTATCTATTTATACGGGCGTATTTACCCGACTAAATTACTATAGTAAGCGCCGTTAGACTATATAGTCTGTATTAACCGCGTTATTCTAACGACTTGTAATACTACTATCACGGCTATTAATAGGTAAATACTAGGGCGACTACTTAGCCGCTCGTAGGTTTACTTAGCCGAGAATTCAGTCGCTAATCGAGTAGAGGATACTAACGGCCCTACGCCCGAACTAGTACCGGAGTTTTTAATAGAATTAGAGTTCGCCTCTATCCCGCCC